AGACCAACCACTAATCCAGATTAGGGTCCTGCCCTTATAACCTCATTTAACCTTAAATACCTTCTAAAAGCCCTATCTCCAAACATGTCACAATGGGAATTAGAGCTTCAACATATGAATTCTAGAGGATACAATTCAGTCCATAGCAGACCTCAAATGAACATGTTGTTGAACACATAGTGTGTGCTGGGCACTGGTCTAGAGACCGGCAAACGAGCAAAGTGGATGGTGAGTAGGCAAAAAACTGTATCTATATCTAAACATCTATAAAGATATATGTAAATCTATATAAGATAAAGAGATATAAGTACGTACATTCACGTGCAAATACATACACACTCACAAACTACCGGCAGTGATAAGTGCTATGAATAAAAATAAAGCATGATAAAGGGGCAGAGAGTAACAAGGATGGGATGCTGTTTTAAAGAATGATCAGGAGTGATCTCTGACTCAGCAATGTTTAAGTGGATGGAGACATAAGTAAGATAGGTTAGCTTTCAGCCACTGGAATTTAATCCTTCAAATCAGGAGTCTGCAAACTTTTTCTGTAAAGGAGAGGATAGGAAATATTTTTGGCTTTGTGGGCCATCCCATCTTAGTCTCCATCACAGCTTCCCCACTCTGCCCTTGTATTGCAAAAGCAGCCATAGACAATATGGAAACAAACAAGGTTGGCCGTGTGCCAATAAAACTTTATTTACAGACACTGAAATTCAAACTTCATGTAATTTTCACCTGTCATGGGGCATTATCCTTCTTTTGACTTTTTTATTCAACAAGTTTAAAATGGGAAAACCATTCTTAGTCCATGGGCTGTACCAAAATAGATGGTAGACCAAATTTGGCCCACGGGGCCACAGTTTGCAAACCCCTGCTTCAGAGCATGCAGCTAGAAGATGCTTCTCCCAAGAGAATGGGGATCACTGTAGGGCCTAGAACACGAGTCCCTGGCACATAGTACGTATTCAGTGTGTATTTGTTGAAAGAAAGAAAGCAGGGAGGGAAGGAAAGGGGCAAGGAATGAGGGTGCCGGGGCTCCTTCAAGCTGAATTCCTGGCTCAGGGCCCCAGGCTGACATGACCTCACCTGCTGTCTCCTCTTGGGTTGCGAGATCATTTCCTTCCATTTCCTCAGGGCCTCTCTGCAGGCTTCCCAAGCAAAGAGGTGTTGACAAAGCCTTTGAAATGTCCAGGAGCTCAGAGCCTCCTTTGCAAATTTAGGAACAGGCATCGAGGAGCCCTCCCATAGAACCCACTGAAATCGAGTCAGTGTCTCCCGCGACCTGAAAAGCTTCCATTGTCTACCCCAGACACAAATCCAGAAACAAACACACACAGCTGCAGCCCAAAGTCCACTTGTGCCCCATCCCCAGCTTAACAACCCACAAGGGCCACTAATCTGAATTTTTAGCTTAGGTCACCACTCAGAAAAGTCATTTGCATCCCCCCATGCAGGCCCCTGACTGCTATATTAATCTCCCCATTTGTCCCCTCCTGAGTCATCTAATATTACTGCTGGCTAATTAAAACATCAAAGCCCAAGTACAACAGCCCTGCCAGAGGCCTCCTAATGCCTGGTTTCAAGTGGGCAGTTCACACAGCCTGGGGTGCAGAATGGCACACCTCGCGCCTGAGCCCCCAATTACTTGTCTCGTAATGACCACCCCTCGCACATCTGGACCCTCAGCACATGGCCTCTTTTACTGCCTATTATCTCCCTCCCTCCACCCTGCCAATGATGGCTGCCGGCTGCCTGCCCACCGGCCACACCCCACCCCTCTCTTCCTCCCTCCTTGTCAGGCTCCCCATCCTCCTGCCCTCCTGTCACCTCCACGGGTCCTGGGCCCGACCCCACCACCAACACCATGTGTGTTATCCCACTGTGGGATTCCAGCTGCCCCTCAACCTCCAGGGTGTTAAGACAGAGAGTTTCTAAACGGGCTAAGTGACACCCTGCCTAGAGAGGACGGACGCAGGAAAGGTAGGATTTTATTTTCTCAAGGATGCAGGTCATCGGCACAATCAGAGGAATTTGTCACCACAAAGGCCTACCCAGAGGTGCCCTCCATCACCTGGACATCTGCTGGAAGACACAGGAATGGAAATAGAATCTGAAATAAAGAAGTTTAGGTTGTCTGGACAGGCCTTCCAAGGAAGTGGAGTTTGAACGTGGCTTCACGTGGGGACATAAGTAAAATAACTTAAGAGTTTAGCAGGATAGAAGGGCAAATAGGGAATTTGCCTATTCCCTATTAGGGAGTTCATCCATATCATTGTCCTGCTCCCGGGGTGGCAGTACAGCAGTAACGCTTATAGCAGTAGTCGTTGTAACAGGACTACAAGTTTTACTAGTAGCAGAATAATGACACCAATAGTGATGAAGAATGGCTAACATTTAGGAGGCTGTTGCAATCACCCCAGTGAAAGATGATGGAGGCTTGGACAGGGTGCTGGCCAGTAGATGGAGAGAAAGGGGACCAAATGGATTCTAGAGTTATTTAGAAGGCTAAAATGGATGGGAGTCAGGAATGGATTGGGGGTGGGAGATAAAGAGGATGATGTCCAGGAAGCTCCTCCCTGTGGCATGTGCACAGGTGGTGGATGGATGGTGGTGCCCAACACTGAGATGGGAGCCACTGGGGGTGACTGGGTCTGGCCAGAGCAGGGAGGTGTAGATCATGAGTCATAGTACCTTCCTGTTGTTCTCTGCCATTGCTCCCTGCACTGTTCTGGCATGATCTTTAACAGTGGCATGCTGTCACCTGCCTCCTGTTCCCCAAACTCCAACATGGCAGCATGGACGCTTTAGCACAGAGCTCTTCTTTGGCCGGAAAGGTGGCTATGCCTCTCACTTCTCTGCCAGCAAGACTGTGCTCCCACTTCTTTGCCTGGTTAACACCTACTTATCCTTCGGGTCTTGACTTAGAAGTCAAATACTCTGGGTCAGGCGCCTCTTCTGTGTGCTTCCACAGCCCCCTACACACTGCCAACGTCCCGTGTTATGGCACCCAGTTCACTCAATTATAATGGTTCATTAAATCACCATCCCCATTGGACTGTGAACTCCATGAGGGCACAGATCACATCTGTATGTTTGTCACTGCAGCCCTGGCCCTTACTGACTTGCCTGGCACATAGGAGATATTCAATAAACATGTGTTGAATGAATGAATGAATGAGTGAATTGTGCATGATCGTCAAGAGGCAGGATAGTCAAACAGTTAAGGGCATGGTTTCAAAGGCCAGACTGCCAGGCTTTGACTCCTGGCTCCAGCTTACTAGCTCTGTGGTCTTAGACAACTTAGTTAACCTCTCTGTGCCTCAGTTTCCTCATCTGTAAAATGGGGATGACGTTGCTTGGAACATAGCAAGTGCTCATTGAATGCTAGTTTTCAGTAGTTGTCCTTCAGAGTTCCCTGTGATTTCTGTCCTACGCTTAACCTGATTGAATCCTAATTCACAGCTCCCTGCCAGCCTGAGCACCTCCAGTCTGATGAGACGTGGACCCTGCCTCCTTTCTGACTTCATCTCCTTGTACTCGTCCTCACTCATCCACTCCAGCCACACTGGCCTCCTTGCTGGTCCTTTGAACTGAGCAAACTCATCCCTACCTCAGGGTCTTTGCACTTGCCTCTTTCCCCTCCACTTTGTCACCATTACCTCCCTCTATATTATATTCTTATCACCACCTGAAAGTATATCATCCACATATTAGTTTACTTATTATTTATCGCTGCTTCTCCCAAAATGATGCTCCAGAAGGACAAGGATCCTGACTGCCTTGTTCACCTCAGTGTCCCCAATGCCTAACAGTGTCTAGCACATAGTAGATGCTCAGTAAATACAATTTGAACATGTGAATGCCCTGCCTCAAGGTCACTGCCCACTGCCCTGCTCTTTGGCCCGAGTGATGCAACATTGTCTCATCTTCTCCCCTCCGTTGCTCGGCTGTTGCATCAGGGTATGCCTGCTGCCTGTCCCTTAGAGTTGCTGATGCCTGTCTGATGCACGAGCACACCTCTGCCCAGGCAGGTAGACAACCACTCAGAAACACCCAAGACAGAATATGATCCTTATCGATGAAGTTCATAATGGATGGGCCAACATCTGTCAGCCCAGGCTTATCCCCGCTCACCTACTGGACAGTTTGCTTACAGAGGTGAAGATAAATGGAGCACTGAAGACATTCAAGATGGAGAGAACAGGGGCTTCCCTGGTGGGGCAGTGGTTGGGAGTCCGCCTGCCGATGCAGGGGACACGGGTTCGTGCCCCGGTCCGGGAGGATCTCACATGCCGCGGAGCGGCTGGGCCCATGAGCCATGGCCGCTGAGCCTGTGCGTCCGGAGCCTGTGCTCCACAACGGGAGAGGCCACAACAGTGAGAGGCCCGTGTACCGCAAAAAAAAAAAAAAAAAAGACGGAGAGAACAGTAAGTGCAAAGGCCTGAGGCAGGGACATGTTTGGCCTTTTTGAAAAGCAGAAACCTGAAATCGGGGGAAAGTATTCTATGTTTCAAACCTTTCTCACATAAACTTTTTGTTTTCCCAGTACTTGCCCGGAATGGTGAGTTCGGGCTATGGCACGAAGGCCCAGAAATCCAAGTAACTTGACCCAGCCTCAGGTTTGATTCCTCCACCCTGAGGGCTGTTATCATTTGAAGACACTGACAGTGTTCTTTCAGTCACTTATTCATTCCACAAACTTTCATTAAGTCCCTGCTAATGTGCCAGACACTGTGCTAGACGCCAGAGAGACCACCTTTGAGTTCCTGGCCCCTCTCCCCAGAACAGAATCTGAAACATTCTTCCACGGTGCCTCCTTCTGCACAGGTAGAGGGACCAAGTTCCCAGCTACCTTGTATGTGTCCATCCCAGAGAGTCACAGACAGTTGGTGACTGGCGACAGATTCCAGGAAGAGCATCACCTCTCCCCATCCCAATGGAAACAATCTTCCAGTGCCCTCAAATGCATAATATCTCATCTTTATTCTCTCCTCCAGCCCCCTGCCTCGGGAAAACAGTCTCCCATAAAGAATGGCAGCCCCTCCAAGTGCCCTCGTTTCCTCAAGGTCAAGAACTGGGAGACCGATGTGGTTCTCTCTGACACCCTCCACCTTAAGAGCACGTTGGTGAGTACCCCAGCAAGGGGAGACCAGGGTTTCTCAACCCCAGCAACATCCACACATGGGACTGGGTAATTCTTATCGTGGGGACCAACCTATGCATTATAGGATGTTGAGCATCACCCCTGACCTGTGCCAGCCAGATGCCAGTACCCCCCCCACCAAGTTGTGACAACCAAATATGTCTTCAGACATTACCAGATGTCCCCTGGGTAGGAAATTCACCCCCATTTGAGAACCACTGGTGGATACTTACTTGTGCAAATACTTTTTATTTGTGTCCCTTGTACTCAAAAGGGGAGGTGCTGGTTCTAAGTACATTCCTTTTCTCTCACACAATCCGACCACTGATGGAGTTTTGGACAAACCCTTCTTGGTTTTCAGTCTGTCCTCTAAATTTTATATATTTTTAAGTCAATCAACCAGTCTATTGTTTTACATTGTTCTGGAAAATGGGCCTCTTGGAGGAATGTTGTATCAGTTAGCTATAGGAGTGTAACAAACTTCCCCCCAAATTAGTGACCTAAAACAACCACCACTTATTATTTAACAAAAGCCTACAGACGGGCTGTGTGGTTCTGCTGATCTCATGTTTCTGCGATCATCTGAGGGGTCAGCTCTCGGCAGGCTGGTCTAGGATGGCCCTGGCTGGGGTAACTCAGCTCTGCTCCATGCGGCCTCTTATCTTCCAACAAGCTAGCTTGGTCTCCTTCACATGCTGGTTGCAGTGTCCTGAGAGAATGAGCAGAAATGTGTAAGATCTCTTGAGGTCTAGACTCAGAATGGGCACAGTGTCACTTCTGCCATATTCTATTGGCCCAAACCAGCCCAGATTCAAAAGGAGAGGGAAGAGGCTTTACCTCTTGATGAGAATTGCTGTAAAGTCACATAGCAAAGGGTATGAATACAGGGAGGGGAGGAATTAGGGCTATGTTCTGCAATCAACATCCCACAGACACATTCTAAAAAGTTACTATAATCACCCTACTAGCTCCTTCTTGATCAACATGGGATCAAAACATATTGGGGGATACAGCACCAATGATTCTGCTTCCCGGGGAATGGCAGTCACAAAGCCCTTCTCCCCCCAGTTAAGTAGAGCAAACACATTCAGGACCTTAAAGTGATGCTTGCCCTTTCCTTACCTGGGCTGATAACCAGGTCCAACAGTGATTAGAAGCTGGTATGTGAGAAATCCGCTTTGGGAATTAAAGCCGGGGAAGCTCCGCCACGAATGTCAGATCCAGGTCCACAAGCCTACACGTGCCACAGTTGGGTGAAACGAAGTAATAGCCCAAATCTCTTTTCCTTCCAGGGAACGGGATGCACCGAGCACATCTGTATGGGGTCCATCATGCTTCCTTCTCAGCAAATACGAAGGCCTGAAGACGTCCACACAAAAGAACAGCTCTTCCCTCTTGCCAAAGAGTTTATTGATCAGTACTACTCATCAATTAAAAGGCAAGTTCATGTCTACACTGGGAAGACCGGGTACTGGGTACAAAGACTTCAGGTCCAAATGTGCAGATAGTTGAACCAAGACCTGAGCATAAGGCCTCTGCCTGCCATGCACAGAGGTCAAAAACTGGTGGCCCAAGGGCCAGATCTGGCCCCTAGAAGTGTTTTTGTTTAGCCTGCAAAGTGTTGCTTAAATTTGAAACTTTTCAAGCAATTCCATGCCTGGGTATATTCCCTACAGAAACTCTCACACTTGTTCACAAGAAGGCCTGCATAAGAATGTTCACCGAAACATTGTTAGAATAGGAAAAAAATTAAACAGCCAACTGGAAACAATCTCAACTCCATTGATAGGAGAATGTGTAAGTAAACTGTGGCATTTTCTGTAATGGAATACTATACAGCTGTAAACATGAACAGGTTCATGGAAATGAAGCTCCTAAATAACTTTGAGCAAAGGAAGGAAAGGACAGGCTATAGAAGGATACGTTCAGGACAGCCCCATTTACATAAACTTTTTAAACATGCAGAAAAATACTATACGTGATTTAGGGGATAGATACACAAGTGGCAGAAATATAAACAAAAGCATGAGAATGCTAGATGCCACATTCAAAACAGCCTTCACTCCTGGAAAGAAAGTGGGCTACAGTGCAGAGTAGTCCCCAAGGAACTATAATATATTTTCTTTTTTATTTATCATCTCTTAGGCTTGGGACATGGGTATTCATTACATTATTCTGTATACCTTTTTGTAAGCCTGAACCTTTTCATAAGAATTGTTTAACTTTCTAAAATTCAGTTTATTGCCACCATTTAAAAATTAGAAGAGTTGCCTTTAAAAATCAGATTTCCAGTTTCTCTTGAAAGAAGATCTGGCAGTACCAGGCCCCCATTCCTATCAGACAACAGCAGACTAGAGCAGAGTTGGGGCTGCCCCCTTTGGACCAGGCGTAGGCTCACCTGTTTGCTGCAGTCCCCATCCAGCCAGTTCAGTCATATGTACACTGCCGGGCCTTCGTAGGCATTTGAGTTTGCCAGTCTCTGCTTTATGCTGAAACTGTTGTGTCCAGATATCCGTCCAGACTCTGTGGCTTCTGGCCTCCGGTAATAGCTCACTCCTTCCACCGATCTCTAATTTAGCAGAAAGGGTGATGCTCCCATGTCTCTTTTCTCTTCCCTCAGATTTGGCTCCAAAGCTCATACGGAGAGGCTGGAAGAGGTGAGCAAAGAGATCGAAACCACCAGCACCTACCAGCTCAAGGACACAGAGCTCATCTACGGGGCCAAGCACGCCTGGAGGAATGCCTCCCGCTGCGTCGGCCGGATCCAGTGGTCCAAGCTGCAGGTGGGCAGTCAGGCTCAGATACTATGAAGAGCCCTTTGGTGGGGTTGCGGGGGGGAGGCGTGAGCTTTAAAAAGGGTCAGCTCCTAGCAAGGGCACTTGGTGGCTATGGTGAACTCTCAGATGGTGATCATGGGGTCCCAAATTCTCAGATCATGACTGAATCTGGCTTATATCTTATTTAGCCCAAACAATCTTTTTTAAAAATTGAATCTGATGTCTCTAGGTAGGGCTTATACTCTCCAGTTTACTACAGACCCCACTTGCCCCTTTTGTCTTATACCTCCTCTCTTTCCTTATTTCCATTATCTGCCTACTCCCTAAAAGCATTAGATTCTGTGTCCCCTGGTGTGATTTCTTTTCCTCTAGGGAATAGTTTCATTTTGGAAGTAGATTAATTATCAATCCCGGGGGGGGGGCCGCACGTGGGGGCAGGGTGTCTGGTTTTTTTGTGGTTGTTTTATTTTTAAGTCCCTAATCTCTAGGAACCTCAAAAGAGATACAGGCAGCCCATTTAAAGTCCCTCCTCTGCTCAGCATCTCTTTCCTACATTCACTTACACTCCATGCCTACTTTTAGGGGATTTTTCCTGGTTTGACTGGCCATAGTTATTAGGGTAGAAAAAAAGATAAAACCCAGCCCGGGGCTCAGTAATGAGATGCTCACTACTCCAGGGGAGTAGTAGCCACTGGGAGGGCTGCCCTGGGGGTGATGAATGGGGAAGGAGGAGGTGATCACTCCCACGACATACCCCTTGCAGGTGTTCGACGCCCGCGACTGTACCACGGCTCACGGGATGTTCAACTACATCTGTAACCATATCAAGTATGCCACCAATAAAGGGAACCTCAGGTGAGCTGACCCGCTTAGGGGAGCGGAGTCCGATGTCCCCCCATTGTTGACCCTTGGGTCTGGCGTTCACCCCCCTGTGAAGGAAATGCTCCCCCTCTTTTCCCGGGGACAGGTGTCAAGCCGAGAGAGGTAGCCTGGCATCCTCATTCTAACCAGCATGTGCCTTCTCTCCCGGGAGAAACAGACTCCCATGTGGTTTGCAAGACTACAGCGACCAAAATCATGTTCATCCCACAGTTCAATATCACCCACGGAGGAAACAGGAAGGGATGTTTCAGATTCCCAGGAATAGGAAAATCCCATTGCCGGTGGTGACCTGCTTTTACCAGCTCCTGCTCTGTTGCCTGGAGCCACCTCTGAAGCTCCCTGGGTTTAAAAGGCAATTTCTCTTCCCGCTGCTGTGGGGACCACCGTTTCTGGTTCCACCAAGCTGAGCCGCACCTGGGACTCCTCTTGCCCCCCGCGAAGAACAAAGCCACAGGATACAGGCCAAGGCAGGAAGGCGCCAATGTGAGCTGGTGGCTTCCACACTGGCAAGTCTCAGCTGGGAGAGGAGCAGCTAGAAGGGAACAGCTGGGGCCCCCTCAGACAGGCGGTGACAGTTGTTAATCCTACTTCCTCAGTCCTGCCCCTGCATCTGTTCCCAGCAGCTGAGGACCAGCCCCATCTTGGGGCCATGCAGGACCACTGCAGGGATATTCCCACAAGCCCTCAGGCTACACTGAGCTCATCCCCAAAGTGACCTATTGGCATTAAGCATGGTCCTTCTTGGACAAGTCTCTTCCTTGAGAAGGAAATGGTGTTTGCCAGCTGAGCCCACCAATAGGAAAAGACCCTGTAATTTAAGCCCAGGGCCTGCTTGGGAAATTAGTATTCAGATCTTTTTCCTAAAAGACCTCACCCCTCAGAAAACAATAAAGAGCCCTCCTGCATATCCTAACATTAAAGGAGGGCCCAGTCAAGGTCTTGGCCTCAAGGAGTTTATGGGTTATTTTGGTAGTTTTCAAATGGTGCTGTGATGGGGTAATATGGGGCCGGGATCGCCACAGGGTAGGCAGCGCACCTTTACTTTTTTCAATTCTGTATTGGGGGGGTGGGTCTAAATTAGATATTCTATTGATGAAATGTTTGGCTAATTTTTTTTTTTTTACAAGTTTGAAACTACACATCTGGACACAATGAGAGGCCATAAGAGAATGTATACCATGTATAGAAACTATCTAAGCATAAAGGAGGAAGGTGGACAAGGGAGATGAAGGGAGGGAGAGAGATGTAATTCCAACAGTACAGGGCATTAGACTTGCCATTTTGCGACATTATGCTTAGGAGGCTTGGGAGATGGGAGGTGTAAACCTGTTCCATGTCTTCCATTGGGCTCATTCCCACACACAGAGTAAGCATCCCACCCCACTGTGTGAGATTCTGGAGTTTCTAAACACACTTTTTAAATATATATAAACAAACACAAACAGGCTTTATCTGCTGCTCAACCAAAGAAACAGCCGTGTGGTTTAGTGCTGGAGGGAAATGCTCACAATTTTACTCAGTCTGTGTTCATCTCCAATATGGCACCTTTGCTAAGAGATTTTTAAGAGCGTCTTTGGCTCTATATGACTTCCGCCTTCAGCCTGGGTCCTAGACTCACCCCGAGGTGTGACACACCACTCCCTGCAGTATTAAATGCAGTATTGTCTTGTGCAGATAGTATGACCTAAATGTGCTCAAAAGGAGGCCCTGGGAACTAGATAAGACAGGGGATGCTGTGTGGAGAAAGTAAATTTGAATCGGGCCTTGAAATTGGGTACATGACAGACTCTCAACAGTGGTTGAGAGTCCGCCTGCCGATGCAGGGTACACGGGTTCGTGCCCCAATCTGGGGGGATCCCGCATGCCGTGGAGCGGCTGGGCCCGTGGGCCATGGCCACTGAGCCTGCGCTTCCGGAGCCTGTGCTCCGCAATGGGAGAGGCCGCAACAGTGAAGAGGCCCGCGTACCGCAAAAAATAAAAAATTTAAAAATTTAAAAATAAATAAATATGAGTACAGATGAAAGTGGATTTCTTATTAATCGTAAGTCTGTAGACTTTGCTGTGGTACAGGGGGTGAGCAAATGGGACAATAAATAATGATGGTGGTAAAAGAAAGTCTAAAACTGGGAATCAGTGGTGAGCTCTTAAAAGGAAACAGGATCTGATGTTTTTTCCCCTGAGGATTACCTGCTGCAAAAGAACTTTCTGGAAAACTGGCGCAAGTCAAGATTGTTTGAAAGTCTCCAGTTAGAGAAGCATTCTCTTTCCTTCAGTGAGCTGGCACCAGGCCTCCTATCCTCCACCCTTCCTTACCCAGCGGTCCAGTGGAGAGACAGAGCAAGGACCTTCCAACAGCTGCACCGTGGGCCCTGAGCCTTATGTACTCATTGGCCTGGGCGACACTTTTTCCAGTATGTCCCCAAAGTGCAAGCCCAGCCCTGGTGCCAAACATCCCCCTCTCTCCGCCACAGATCTGCCATCACCATATTTCCCCAGAGGACCGACGGCAAGCATGACTTTCGAGTCTGGAACTCCCAGCTCATCCGCTATGCTGGCTACAAGCAGCCTGACGGCTCCATCCTGGGGGATCCAGCCAGCGTGGAGCTCACAGAGGTGCGTGCCCCCACTCCTCCCCCAGCTGGTCTCTCATCCTCCCAAACTGTCTTTAGCCACAGACTTTTCTTAGTTTAATATTATCGTAGGGAGAGTGGTCAGTGAGGTACAGCTTACTCATCTGCAGAGCTCCTGCTCTGTTTGCCTCTCGTCCTGCTGGTTCTGCTACAGCTGGTCATTTGGTCATTTTCAGGCCATTACCTTGCCCGACCCTCATGATGGGAACTATTGCCCCATTTCACAGATGAGTAGACTGAGTCTCACCAAGGCCAAACACATTATTCAAGGCTACTAAAGGAGCAGAGGAAAAGCTAGAAGTACAGTTCCAATCTCCTGCCTTGCCCTGGGAGGAGAGGAACTGACATGTGGACGCCATGTCTGGCATCATCTCCTCTGAGTTGGGTAATATGTCAGACTCATACCCTTCATTCATTCATTCATTTCCTTGTACAACATTTCTACCTACCCAGCCCCTCTCTGGACAGACTGGACTCTCCAGCACCACCACGGTTGCTGGCAGCCCAAGTCAGTTCATAAAAGCCACTAGGAACACGAATACCACCTTCTCCCCATCCAGGGCTCCTTCCAGGTGGTGATGTGGACAGATAGCACAGGTAAGGCCTGGAAACTTCCACCAGCTCTGCCCACAGGAGACATAATAGGCAGAGCCCACGCCTGGAATATCTCACGCACACAGACCTGGTACCTCCTTTATTTGTCACCCACTCAGCCGCCATTCTGCTTTATCTTCGTTCTTTCCTCAAACCCCCCTCAAACTCCACCCCACGAGGGAGCTGCTTAGGCCAAGGGCTACCCCACACCCTCATGGCTGCTGACTTCATTTGCAAGTGGCTTTTCTTATTAAAATATTATTATCCTGGGGAGGGGGCTATAACCAGGGCGACCAGGAGTCAGACCTGTGTCTTTTAGCCTCAGCCAGTCTCTCTGCTCCACTTGGCTGACCTCTGACTGTATACTTGGCTGACCTTGTCCTTGTGGCCGCCGGAACAGAAACACCATGGCCTCTCCCTCTCCTTCTGTCTCCAGAAACCTCACTGACACAACATGTTCTAAACCCACGCTTCTGTGCTTCCTCTGTCTACTAACTCAGCAGAAAGAGTCACCCCAAACATAACCACAGAACTGTAACTTTCAAAACCCCTCACCCAGTACGGCAGCCACTGGCTGCATGTAGCTAGTGACCACTTGAAATGTGGCGAGTCCAAACTGAGACATGCCCTAAGTGTAAATAACACGGTCTCAGAGACAGAGAACAAAAAAAGAGTGGAAAAGATCTCATTAGTAATTTGTGTCTTGATTACCTATTGAAAAATAATATTGTGGATAATATCGGGCTAATCTATTTCTATTTGTTAATAAATTAATACATTTATTGTATTAATAAGTATAGTTAATTTTATGTTAAACATCTTTAAATATATTAATATTAATAATTTATTTAATAATTTATTATTAAACAGTTGGTGTTTAATTAGGTTATATATTATAAATTTTTATATTTTATTGGATTAATAAATGAATTACATATTTAATTTTAATGTCAAATATACTATTAATATATTAATATTTTTACTATTAATATATTAATATATATACCATGTATATTATATATATGCCATATATAATAATATATTAATACATAATGATATTAATATTTGATATAGTAATGCTTTTAGTACAGTATTAATAAATTACTGTTACTATAATTAATTACTATTACTATAATTAATATCGTGCTATAATTCATAATTATTTAATTTTTTTTTTTCCTTTTTTTTTCGGTACGCGGGCCTCTCACTGCTGTGGCCTCTCCCGTTGCGGAGCACAGGCTCCGGACGCGCAGGCTCAGTGGCCATGGCTCACGGGCCCAGCCGCTCCACGGCATGTGGGATCTTCCCGGATTGGGGCACGAACCCGTGTCCCCTGCATCAGCAGGCGGACTCTCAACTACTGTGCCACCAGGGAAGCCCCATAATTATTTAATTTAATTAAATATTATTGAAATTAAAACTTTTGTAAATGATATATTACTTAAATTATTTTCTCTGGGTTTGTTTTTTTTTTAATTTTTAAAATGTGGCTGCTAGAAAATTTTAAATTACTATGTGGTTCGCTTTATATTTCGATAGGATAGCTGCTCTAACAGATGCATTTTATGTGGTCATTCTGAGACATCTGCCCTCATCAAATCTGGTAGATTTTCTTCATGTCTTAGGCACCGGATGCAAACACTTCCGGAGCAAGTGTGTGGGCGTGCCCAGCCCTGTGCGAGGGCACCACAGTTGCAAGTGTCAGTTCAGCCCTTCCACCCGGAGTTCCCAGTTGGCAGGGAAGACCTGGAAAACATAACCGAGTGAGGGGCTGGAGGACACGTTTGCTTTCTGTCCCGTGGGACCACAGACAGTTATACTAGTTACGTGATGATGTCAGGGAGAACTTCATAAAGAAGGTGGCCATGACCCAGAGCCTCCAGGGTGGCTGCTGGCGGGCTTGCACTGGGACCTCTGCCCCTCCCCACATTGCTGTTGTGTCTGGAGGGTCTGGGGCATGGTGGCCTGACCTGGCGGGTCTGGTTGCAGATCTGCATCCAGCAGGGCTGGAAACCCCCAAGAAGCCGCTTCGATGTCCTGCCACTCCTGCTCCAGGCCAACGGCAATGACCCTGAGCTCTTCCAGATTCCTCCAGAGCTGGTGCTGGAAGTGCCCATCAGACACCCCAAGTAAGAGGGACTGGCATGGGGTGGGTGAGGGTGGTTGGATTTACCCAGTGCTCCTCTCTACCCAACCCTGCACCCCCAGCTCTCTCTCCAGCCCAGACAGAGGCTGAAAGGGGGTCTTGGTTCCTACCCTCATCATGGGGCCAGGGCAAGGTGGGCTCCCTCAACATCAATAATTCCTCCTTCACCAGCCTAGGGACCACCATCTTTTCTGAATCAAAATCTCTCTCCTTATAAGTCAGATAGAGAAAGACAAATACTGTATGATATCACTTATATGTAGACTCTAAAAAACACAACAAACTAGTGAATATAACAAAAAAGAAGCAGACTCACAGATATAGAGAATAAACCAGTGGTTACCAGAGGGAGAGGGGCAATATAGGGGTAGGGGATTAAGAGGTACAAACTATTATGTATAAAATAAATAAACCTCAAGGAGATATAGTAAAACATAGGGAAGATAACCAGTATTTTACAATAACTATAAATGGAGCATAACCTTTAAAAACTGTGAATCACTATTTTGTACACCTGTAACTTATATAATATTGTACAGCAACTATGCTTCAATTAAAAAAAAAATCTCCCTCCTTACCCGACTCCTAAGCCATCAACCTGGACCTGCCCCTTTTTCCAACCCTAAGGGCTGAAAGAGCAGAAGCCCCTCCTGTGTCGTTGTGGGCACAGATTTTAAATAGAGGGAGCCATTTAAAACTCTATATGACCTGACGCAGCTCAAGGTCAAAAGCAATTTGGGGCCAGGATGGGACTGTGAGGGCTGTGGCCAGCAGCACAAATAGAATTTACACTTTTCGAGAGTAAAGAAACTCCACAGTAAGACCCTGGCCTCAGGGGCAAAATTGATGGGGGAAGCACCAAAAAAAAAAAAAAAATCAATCATCAAGATAAATAGTATTTTAATGTAATATTTTTAAAAATAAAAATTAACTTTTTAAATATATCAAAACTTTAAACAAAGACCAGGTCAGGGCTGAAATTAGAGGGAAACAAGTGAGGCAAGTTAGGGCAAGGTGGGAGCTTGTCTTTATTTAAAGTTCTTTTGGTTTTGTTTTTTTTTTGCGGTACGCGGGCCTCTCACTGCTGTGGCCTCTCCCGTTGCGGAGCACAGGCTCCGGACGCACAGGCTCAGCGGCCTTGGCTCACGGGCCCAGCCGCTCCGCGGCATGGGGGATCTTCCCGGACCGGGGCATGAACCCGTGTCCCTTGCATTGGCAAGCGGACTCCCAGCCACTGCGCCACCAGGGTAGCCCTATTTAAAGTTTTGATATTTTGTTTGTCATGGAATTTTTTTGCATTAATTTTGATTTTTTTAAAAAAACATTGAATTAATTTGGAATATTGTGTAAATAAATTAATAATATTGATATTGATACCTGGGTTTGTTGGTGCCCCCTTAAATTTTGCACCCAAGGCTAGTGCCTTACATGCCTCACCCTAGTCCAGGCCCTGGAGAGGGAGCAAGTGCCCTGAGGCTCCTGACACTGCCCAATATCTGGGAACTTACCTAGTCTCCCTGGTGACACTTGGCCTTCATTCATTCACTCATTCAATACTGTTTATTATTCCCAGTCTGGGCCAGGCATTGTGCTGGGTTTTGTAGATGACTTGGTCCCTGCCTCCATGGTGCTTTCAGTCTCAAGGAGGAGATCAGTTACCCAAATTAAGTTACTTAATTCCAATAAAGTGCTGCAAAATAAATTTTATGGTACCTAGAGGCATAAAGCTTCCTGACCCAACCCAGATCAGGCATAAGGGAAGGCTTCCCAGAGTCAACAGCATTTTAGCTGAGAATGAAAGGTGGGTAAGAGCTGAACAGGCACAGAAGGAAAAGAGAAGGAAGGAGCTGCCGTGCAAAGGTCCTGAGGTCAGAAGGAACTCAGCAATGCTCACTTTCTCCTGGATTCACCTTCAGGGTGGGTTTAGGAGATAAACAGCAGCCCAAGGCAATGGTTCCCAGGCCTGGATGTCCATCCAAATCACCTGGGAAACATGTTAAAGTGCATATTCTCAGGCCCCAGCTGTGGAAGCTGTGATCCCACAGGTCTCACATGAGCCCAGGAATTAGATTCTGGCATAGTAAGTCCCAGTCACTCACTGGCATTTCAGCATCCCCAGACTAAGGATATCCCGCCTGTGTGTCTTCCCATGAGGCTCCTGCCCCATGGTGAGCTGGGCTGTGTTGCTCTCTGCAGGTTGGAGTGGTTCAAGGACCTTGGGCTGAAGTGGTACGGCCTCCCCGCTGTGTCAAACATGCTCCTGGAGATCGGCGGCCTGGAGTTCAGCGCCTGTCCCTTCAGCGGCTGGTACATGGGCACAGAGATTGGCGTCCGTGACTACTGTGACAGCTCCCGATACAACATCCTGGAGGTGAAGTCCCTTCTTGGTCATCATGATGCAGAAGCAGAAGGCAAAGGGGATGGGCTCAGCTGTCCTTTCCCACAGCTGAGCTTTGGGGCTTGGAATCTAGAAGAGGTTAAAACAGAATCTGCAATTCTGGGGATGCCCCCTGGCCTTTCTGAAGCCTTCCGTGGCATTAAGAGTACGCGTACTACAAACAAAAAACAAAAAAAGAGAAGAGTACGTGTACTATGTGCTCCGCAGCACTCCAAGCACTTTGTGTGTATTAGGTGCTCATTTAATCCTTACCACAACCTCCAGGTGTGATAATTCCCCTTTCACAGATGAGGAAACTGAGGCCTTTGCGAGGGTTAAAATGAGGACGAGCTCAAGGTCATACAGCTAGGGAGTGGCAGAGCTGGGATGTGAACCCAGTCTGGCTTTTTTTTCTTCCCCCCCCCCCCCCCCCCCCGCCCGGTTTCTGCAAAAGCAGCCCCATCCGCCGCTCTAGTTCTTCCATCCAGCCGCCCACTCGCCCTTGCCCCCGCCCAGCTGTCCATCCTCGGAGGGATTCTGGAGGGGTCAGAATGCCCCCGGGTACTGCCTGTCAGTGTCAAGCCTTGTTAGAAGGTTTTGAGAACGACCCATGAACATGGGACATTTTTGGTCTCTTTTCTTAAAAAACAAGGCTTGCAGTGATTCCCCACCACGTACATTTCTGGGTGGATGTTCTGATTCTCTCCAGGGCTGAGTCATCCTGATCTACAAAAGAGTGCTGAGGCGGACTGCTCCCTGGAGCTCTACTTTGGTGAGAGCGTCAGGATTGCTGTGGTTTTGTCAGCAAATGTTGTTTGGAACCACAGTCTGCTGTGATTGGCCTTGTTTCAAAAGAGGACACTGAGAAACAGAGAAGTTAAATGCTGAGCCTACGTCACACAGTAAATAAAGCACAGGGCAAAATTCGAACTGGGAAACAAGCGTTAGGTTTATATTGTTAAAATCCATGGGTGTTCACCTGGGTGGACCTTAAGGGCATTATGCTAAGTGAGATAAGTCAGACAGAGAAAGACAAATACTATGTGAGTGATCTCACGTATATGTGGAATCTAAAAAAGCCAAACTCTCCAAAAGAGAGAGTAGAGTGGTGATTACCAGGGGCTGGGGAGGGGGGGCAGGAGAACTGGGGAAGATGTGGAAGTGTACAAACCTGCAACTAGCAGATAAATAATTCCTGGAGATTTAATGCACAGCATAGTGATTATGCTCAACAATGATACTGTTATAAATTTCAGAGTTGCTAAGAGACTAGACCTTAATTGTTCTCACCACAAAAAAGAAATGGTAATTACGCAATTGGATGAAGGTGTTAACTAACCCTACAGCGGTAATCATATTGCAATATATAAATGTATCAAACCAATATCTCTCACACCTGAAATACACATAATGTTGTATGTCAATTTTATCTCAATTTAAAAAAATTCCATGGGTGTTGGCCTGGAAAACAGAACCAGGGGTCCTCAGCCTCACCACACACTGGAATTACCTAGGGAGTTTTATTATGCTAGGGTCCCACTCCCCAGAATTTGGATGAAAGTGCTCCAGGGTGGAGCCCGGGCACCAGTATTTTTCAAAGCTCCCCAGAAGATTCTACTGGGAAGCCACTGATTTATACAAACTCCTGGCAAGAAAGGAAAAAACATTTCCAGGCAATTTCCAGAAATGTGGCTCAAGTAATATTTGGGAATTTTTAAAGTCATATATATATATTTTTGCACTTTCTTGCAACTAATTTCTATTCTTTTAACCAAAATAATGCTGTAGAAATAACAATAGCAGCATGACTGGCTGTACACACTCTCTTCTTTTATAACATAGCTCAAGTTTTATATGTATTTGTGTAAAGCAGCGAATTTCTTACTCTCTGTGTTTGTATCATCGCTAAAAGACCCCAAACAGACCCTAACACCTCAGCCTCAAAAGAGTAAATTAATGTCTGCTTTCGTGATCCCTGCTTACATTTCAATTGCAAAGAGTAGTCGCTAGGTAACTTAAATGAGACACGCTCCCACCCCAGCCTTCCAGTTCTAACTGCCATTATGTACAAATGTTGACATCTGGGGCTGGGAAGCGATTTACCCAAACTTGAGAAATTGTCACATTCTAACCCCATAATGAGACATAGGTTCCCACAAGTGACTAGAATTGACAGAGGAAGTGAGAAGCCAGGCTCTAATTAATGGATTTGCTATTGGGTCTTCCCTACTCCTGACATCAGCTTAGCTGGAGCTGGAACATAAATATCAGGAATTGTTTTCTCCAAGTAGTTTTGCCAAAGGAATCTGCTGGCTGGGAAGCCGCTCCCAGGTCTTGGGCGTTAGGCATCTCCCTGGGCTCCAGCCCCAAGGCCAACTGGCTCTGTGGCCTGTGAGCAAGTCTCTGCAGCTCTCTGAGCCTCAGTTTCCTTATCTGTCAAGTGGAGTAGGCAGGCATCCCCATGAACTCAAAATACCCATGATCTAGATTCCAGGCAGTGGCCACGCTGGAGATGGAACAGGATGGGTGGAGAGCTTTTCCTACTAGGAAGCAGCTCATGTCACTCCCAGACCCACATCTCTCCTTAAAGTCCCCCGAAGACCCTCCTCGTCATATTTGGAATAAAATCCTCACTCCTTAGCACATCTAGCATAACCAGTCCTGCATCTCTCTCTCACCAACTCCCCCTGGCTCCCTACCCTCCAAGTACACTGGCCTCTTTCTGTACCCCAGCGCAAGCCTGATCCCACCCCAGGGTCTTTGCATGCTGTTCTCTCTGCATAGAACATTCCCTCCCAAGATTTACAAATGTCTTGCTTCTTCTCATCATTTGGGACTCACTCACCTGTATGCCACCTCTGCAGTGGCCCTTCCCTGACTATCCTGGTTCAATTCATCCTGCCCCCATATCCCTCTTTATCCCATTTCCTCACCTTATTTTCTTCCTAGGAATTAGCACTCATCACAATATTAACTATTTCTCTGCCCCACTAGAAGGTAAGTTCAATAATAAAAGGTCCAGCCAAGTCCCTCTAGACTCTTGATGCTACCAGTGGGTCCTCAATAAAAAAAAAAAAAAAATTTGAGTAAGTGAATTAGTCTGCATATGAGTTGATGAATTAATTAAGAATTTCATTGGTGACACTAGCCCTGTCCCTCTTTAGTCTGAAATCCAGAGGTGCCCCAGCCTATGAGTCTGTGTTTCTTTCCCCTTTCAGGAAGTGGCCAAGAAAATGAACTTGGACATGAGGAAGACATCCTCCCTGTGGAAGGACCAGGCACTGGTGGAGATCAACATCGCGGTGCTGTACAGCTTCCAGGTAGTGCCAGGGCATACCTCCTGGCTGCCAAGCCTCAAAGGGGAACTAAAACCTTTCAGAGTCTCGGGGCAGAAGGTCAAGAACCCAGCTTCCAGGAACCATCCTTGCAGGGATCTGCCTACCAGTGAGGTGTACTTCCCATCATGCATGCCTTCCTCCCCATGATGGATCTTGGGTGGGGACCATTTGAGAAAGAGGCAAAAAGATAGGGGTTTTGTGACTTGTTGCTTATGATTTTGTGTGTGTGTGTGTGTGGTACGCGGGACTCTCACTGTTGTGGCCTCTCCCGTTGCGGAGCACAGGCTCCGGACGCGCAGGCTCAGCGGCCTTGGCTCACGGGCCCAGCCGCTCCGCGGCATGTGGGATCTTCCCGGACCGGGGCACGAACCCGTGTCCCCTGCATCGGCAGGCGGACTCTCAACCACTGCACCACCAGGGAAGCCCGACTTGTTTTCATTTTAATAAACTCATCCTTATTACTTAAAATTGTTTATTTTAAGAGGATTTTGTGTGACCATCATAAATGGAGAGCCAGTACCATTTGCCATAAATAGAAGAGAATTGTAAATTTAAATAAATATATAAACAAATACACACAGGGAAACAACACAAAGTTGTTGGATTCTAGTTGCCTCAGCTTCCTCTCTCATTTAAATAAAAAAAAAGAGAGAGAAGGAGGAAGGACAGGAGGAAGATTGGCAAGAGAGGTGTTTCTCCTGGGTCTAATCAGGATTGAAAGAACAATGCAGAGAATCACCTGCCTAGAATCATCTCCAGGACCAGCCTTTGGGAAACACTGCTCTGTGGGCAGGGGAGTCCCGAAATACCCCAGCTGCTCTTTTCTCGTGACTCCTTGTCCCCTTTCCTCCCACAGAGTGACAAAGTGACCATCGTTGACCACCACTCTGCCACCGAGTCCTTCATTAAGCACATGGAGAATGAATACCACTGCAGGGGAGGCTGCCCCGCTGACTGGGTGTGGATCGTGCCCCCCATGTCTGGCAGCATCACCCCCGTCTTCCACCAAGAGATGCTCAACTACCGACTCACCCCCTCCTTCGAATACCAGGTCCTGCCCCGCCCCGCCTCTTTCGTGCTGAGTCTTCATATCCGGTGTGTGTGTTATGGTTAGAGCACGTCTCAACTCAAACTTGCATTTCGGATGCTCAAGTGTGGCCACCATATTGAACAGCACAGCGCAAGCTGAAAGACGAATGGAGATGAAATGAGTAGTCCGGGGTCACGAGGAGAGTGTTTGAGAGGGATTCTGAGGGATGAGTGGGAAGGTCTAGCAGGACAGTGCAGGGAGGCTGGACCAGCCACTCTGTGCCAGGACCCCTGTGGTCACCACTGACAGAATCGTTCCCTTCAAGGGCTGAGGGTTGGACGTAGCTGGACAGCCACAAGCCCCCAGGGAGCCCTGAGCATCTCCCAAGAGGAGCCAGGGTCCCTCACTGCAGTGACCATAGTCCTCTCTTCCCAGCCTGACCCTTGGAACACCCACATCTGGAAAGGTACCAACGGGACCCCCACAAAGCGGCGAGCCATTGGCTTCAAGAAGCTGGCAGAGTAAGTCTCCTAAAGTAGGTGGGGATGGGGGATGGATGTGCCCCCACATTCAGAGAGCTCCAGAAAAGAAGGCTGGAAACATGCTTGCACCTCTGCCCTCTTGTGTGACATGATTTCTCCATTTTCTCCAACCCCCTCGTGCCTCCTTTGCCTCCGAGTCTCGGGTGCAAACATCACCATGACTCTCCTTCCCAACCTCACTTTCCTCCACCCACTTTCCTAGATTCTTGTCCTGGAGACAGTGTTGTGTTGATAAACCAGCTCTCCAATTAGCAAAGTTGGCCATAATAATGATAATAGATTTGTAACCTTTGCCAGTTTCCATGGTGTAAATACTCCCACTGTGGCCAATTTCAAGCTCTCAACAGGAAGTCACTGAAGCCAGAGTCGAGAGGAGCTAGGACAAGCTGGCTCCAGCCTACCACTGCCTAGAGAGGCCTCTCGCCCAGGGCTGGGTCTCATTTCACTCGCTCATTCACTCATTCAGCCAACAAATGGATACTAAGTGCCTACTCGGTGCCCGGCACTGTGCTGGGCTCCAGAGATGCCATGATGAGCCAGATAATGTGGTCCCGCCCCCATGAAGCTCACAGCTACCACCAAGGAACGATTCATGGGGCCATAAAATAGACGTCAGCCAGTTTGGGAGGTCAAAAGGGGCTTCCCTCAGGAGATGACAGTTGAGCTGAAGAATGAAATGAGTAAGACTTCACTGAGAAAAGGAGGGAGGGAAGCGGGTTAGGGACCAAGGCTTTTGAAGAGTAATTGTCCTGAAGAACTCGTGGTCAGCCAGGGGACCGGCTGACAAGTGGGGTGGGGTTGACAGATGGTTTCTGTCTGACAGAATGCCAGCTTTCTGTCTAAAGATAGAGAACTCCCTGATCCACTCAGCAGAGACCCTCTATTTGGAGCTAACTTTTTGGCAGAGGAGCTAGTATGCACCGAGCTACTTAGTCACTTTCCTCCCTCGGGTCCAGCTCTCAACAGGTGACTGGTAGATCTTGCAGGGACTGAAACCTAGATCCTGGCTCCACTTATATGGTCCCCAGGATCTCTCCCTTCTCTCCCTCCCTCCCCTTTCTCCTTCCACCTAACTTTATCTGCAGCCAAGCAAGAATGCATCAGCAGCCATTCTTTC